CTCCACGGGGCACCAAGTCCTGCTCCATTTGCTCCTCTTCTGGGCAGGGGTGAAGCAGGACCCTGCCCTTGGCACCCCTTGGCTCCCTCAGTGCCCACCCCAGTGCCCGGTGGCCGCTGCTCCTGCCCGCACACGGCCCCAGGGTGATGTGATGGCACCCCCAGGTTGGGTTCTGGACCCTCTCTGCTCCAGGTCTCACTCCTCTGCCTCTCATTCTCCCACCTCCCCACCCCCAGCTGGAAGAGGAGCCTTTCCCAGCCTCCCAGAGAAAGGAGCTGCCCCAGAGAGCACAAGGTGTGAACTCAGAGCCAGGGCTGCAAATGGATTGATGATGACAGGCAGAGGCCTGGCTTCAGTCACTTCAGGCACTGATTGGATTTGTGTGCTACACACATTTTGGGGCACTCAAAAAGCACTGCCTTCCTCTGCTGAGGGGATTCAAACCCATCCTGAGCAGAGTTCAGCTGCAACACTGAACCACAAAGCAGGAGAGGCCAAAGGTTCACAGTGCCCTGTACAACCTCAGTGAAATGTGTCCTGCTCCCTTCCCCACTCAGCAGAGTGCTGAGAAGGCTTTTAAGGCAAAAAAAACTACAGATAAATACTGTGCCTCTGGATTACAGAGCTTAAAATATGATGGCATCTCCCCCAGATTGTGAATGGGTTCCCTGAAGAGCTCCCACAGGTCTGAGACCCTCCCTTCCCCATTCCCCTCCTGGGAGAATTGGAGAGGCAAAGGGCTGCTGTTCCAGCAGATTTGCAGGAGTGGGAGTTGAAGAATCAATGAAGCTCTGAAAGCCAGTGGGGAAAGTCATTCTGCACCTTCCTGACACCAGGAATAAATGATTCAGCTGGAAAGGGAAAAAAAAAATCCAACAACCCTCAAATGAGGCTGGAATTACCCTCTGGAGAGATATTTCATCTTGAGGAATTGTGTTTGCTGCAGTGTTCATCTTACTGAGCCACAGCAAGGCTTTAATATCCAGCAAAAGGTCAAACCTAAATGGGAATTGCCAGAGCCTGCTGGAGTTCCTGCCTGCACACGAGCTCCCAACCCTCACATGGAGCAGCTACACCCAAACTGAGGCCTGACACAGGGAATGGAGCTGAGCTCAACCATGTGGGGATGTCTCCCTCCCTTATGGGGTATTTCCCTTCCCTATGGCATCCCAGACACAGCTCAGCCCTGCATTCACTCCCTTTGGATGGGTACAAAAGGAACAGACCTGCCTGTCTGGGTGTTGTGAGCAGGGGGAGTTTGGAGAATGCTGAGAGCTTCCAGATGTTTGCATCCAAGGGATCTCACTGATTGTAAAGGAAGATGGGATTTCAAGGCACCAAGATGGGATTTCAAGGCACCCAAGGGCTGCAGGGGCAGCTGTCAGCTGCTCCTCAGCTGGAACAACCATGCTTGAGGCACTGCCAGTGCCCTCTGAATCCAGCAGGGTCTGCAGGGCTGTGAGAGCTCTCTCCTCATGCCCATCAGCTCCCCATGGACAGACAATTCTTCCCACTTTTCCCATTTCTGCTTTGGCACTGCTGCTGTCTCCCTCCACCCACACATCTGCTTAGCCTCTCCTTGGTAATTTGTGCTCTTTTTCCTTCCCTCAGACTGAGCTCTGCCCTCTGTGACTCTGCTATGGCTATCCCAGGCTGCAGCAGAGTTCCAGGATAAATTAGGCACACAGGAGGTGAAGGCAGGGGAAGCCAGGGAGCTACACTGTGACAAAGGTGAGTGTCCAAGAAAAGAAAGGGAACTGAGCTCTTCCTGACACACCCACCATCCTTCCAGGAGGGCACAATGCTCATCAGTGACCTGAGCAGAGCAGAGGGGGGGTTTACCTAAAGCAGAGCTGAAAATCTGCTTGAGCTTTGAGCTTGATAGCAAAACTGGTCCCATGCTGCAGGCTAAATCCAGACCTGCAAGGAAACAGATTTGGGAACTATCAACAATCCTGAGAGCCCTGAGTGTTCCACTGGCCACCTCAGCCATCCCACACCACGTGGAGCCCTCCTGCTTTCCTGCTCAGGTCCTCATCAACCTCTACCAATGCATCCTCATCCTGCCCAGCAATTCCAGCTGCCCTTCCAGCCCTTCCTGATGAACAAGGTGCCATCCATGGTGGGCAGCACGCTGGTTTCTGTGCCAGTGTGGAGGAACATCCACTGGGGATGGAACTGCCACTGTCACTTCCACATGTGACTCAAGCCAGATTTCACTATGTACAGAGAGATTAAATTTCTCTAAGGTTAACACAAGATAATTTTTTGTTCAAATATTTACAGTTAGAGCTCACCAGAAAATCAACAGGATTCTGCTGGACAACACTCAACTATCCACATCCCTCAAAGGCAAACAGGGTTTTTATGTGGTATTTAAAGTATCCTGAGAAGCCATCCAGAATGAAGCCCTCACAATTGCTCCTGGGCCAGGCTGGGTTTGTGCCATACATCCATGCCTCTGAGGGAAGCAGGACAAACTTGCTGGCCTTTTCTTCCTAATAATGAGCCCACATGGACACAGCCAGAGTAGGTCACCCAAACAGAGGAGGAGGAGACCACTCAGAACTGCATCCAGCAGCCACATACTTGGGAAGCCCATGCTGTGCAAAATGGGCTCAGGTTGCTTCCCCCTGTGTTTGGTTTTGTGGAGCTGTTTGTGTCTCCTGGATGCAAAACTTCCCTGGCAACAAACCAGAGCTGTCATTTGGAATCTTGTCCTTTCTGTCCAGGATGTTTAAATTCAAGCCTCAAACTTGTGGTTGGCAGGGAGCAGGGGCAAACAAAGAGCCAAACAATCTGCTGTGAGCTCATGAGTGCCCAGCCTGCCCAGTTATCCCCCCTGCCCATGGGGAATGGTGCAGTACAGAGGCTCAGGGGCCTGTCACAGATTGAAGCTGCTCAGATTTACAAGACACAACTAAAAAAACCCAGCACACAATAAGTGTGCTGAAACATTCAGGCTTTGCTCTCTCCTCTGGAGGATCTGTTGTTTCACGAGCAGAAGGGACTCACCCACAGCTGCACTGAACATCTGGGGCTTGAGGAACATTCTCTGGCTGCTTCTGAACCTTTGTTTGCTACTCCCCCAACCCCTGACCCTCTTTTGGCACATCAACCTTTCCTGAGGCTCCCCCCATCCCCTCCTGAGACTGCTCCTGTCTGCTGTGAGTGCACCTGAGATTCCATGGGTTTCTGGGAGGGAAGTTTGCCAGAGCTGCTGTGTCAGGTGCAGAAGCTCAGGTGGAGATTGTTCTCTCCCTCCTCTGCTCCTTTCCAAGGATTTAGAGGGAAGGTGAGCACAGGCTGGATCCCTGCAGGAAGAGCTCTGAAGGGAGCACAGACATCCTCAGATGTTACTCCCACCGAGGTGATTTAACAGCCTCCCCTCCCTAGGTGGACAATCAGCTTTCCAAGGGAGCCAAGGACTTTCTGAGACTTTTCTAACAGGCAGTGCTTTTCTGGGATGAAGCTCCTGCCTTTGAAGGTCTCTGATCTCTCCCAGTGCCCTGGGGCTTTCTGCTTACCCTGCTCATCCTGCAAAGGCATCCCGTGCCAGCTTCTCTCTCTGCTGGGTGCAGAAACATTTCCCTGCAGGCACAGAGTTTGTGCATGGTGCCCTCAATCCACCAGGCCCACAGGGGATGCAGGAGTGCACACAGCTCCTTCCTCTTGGCTGTCCCCTCCAAGCCAGCCCCACAGATGGCAGGTCAGCCCTCCCTGTGCTGCTGAACAAGGGAACACAGGGGCAAGGGGAATGCAGACAATATCCCAAACAAATCTGCTGTTTACAAAGTCCTCTGTAAACTGTTTACTTTGCTGGGGAGAAAGCAGGGAGGAACAACAGCTGGAGAGTGCTCTTCCCAGGGGGAAGGACTCCACTCCTGTTTGCTCCACTGCTGTAGGAAGGAGAGGAGCTGATGCACATCTGGAAATGGTGCAAAGGCATGGGAGGAAAGAAGAGGCAGCAAAACCCCAGCAGCACCCACTCACTGCCCCAGGCTGTCAGGAGCTTTGGCTACCTCAGCACTGCCTCCCAGGGCACACTGAGGAAGGTGGTCTGTCCCTGGGGTGCAGGGTGGCAGGGAACAGCCCTCCTCAGGCTCTGAACAGTGCCTGTGGGGGTCAGGCTGAGCTGTTCCCTGCTGCCAGAGGAAGCATCCCAGCCAGCCCTGAAGCTCCCTTGGAGCCACTTGGCTCTTGGGCTGTGTGAGGAGGGAGCCTTGTGACTCTCATCCCTCAGAAATGTGGTGTGTGGTGCCTCCTGCTCATAGTTAAACATGGGGCCTCAGGAATACCAGCTAGAACATTGCAAAGTACTGGCACAAAATAAAAGCAAGTGCCTCTAATCTCCCTGTTTCCTGTCCATGGAAAGTTCTTTGAAGTGCCTGTGCTCAGGGCAGTGCTGGAACACCCATGACACAGCTGACCAGCACAACACTGGCTGGTGACACAGCGTGACTGCCCAAGCCCTGGGGGCTGCCATGGGGCAAGGAGGGCTCTGAGGGGAGACATGGAAGAGTTAAAACACCCTGCATCAGCCCCCTTCACACTGCAAGGTTGGTTTTGTTACTTGAGCAGGATGTGAGAAAACACAGCCTCCACTCAAGGAAGGTGAGAAGTGCTGTGAGCCCAGAAACAGTCCCAGAGGGGCAGGGGAATGGGCAGCCAGCTGGAGCAGCAAGGACAGAGAAAACATCCTCCCTACACATGATATGGAACCCCTGACCTGCTGGTTGGAAAGAAATACAGGTACAATGAGTAAAAAACAAAGTGGGCAAACTCAGGCTGCCCAGAGCAGCTGTGGCTGTCCCACCCTGGAAATGTCCAAGGCCAGGTTGGATGGGGTTTGGACAAACCTGGGATAGTGGAAGCTGTCCCTGCCCATGGCAGGGACTGGAATGAGGTGATTTTTAAGGCCCCTTCCAACCAAAACCAGTCTGTGATTCTATGATTACAGGTACAATGATTTTTAAAACAAAGGAAATGGTCAAACTCACCCATTTGGTGTGAAGGGCAGGCAGGGACACCACAGTGCTCCATCATCAAGGGGTAAGGGATGTTCATCCACATTTTCTCTCAAACACAGAACAACTCCACTCTCAGCACCTTCACCCTCCATCCAGTCATTCTTCCAGGGCCCAGTTGTGTCCCTTTCCTGACCAGGAAGAGGATGGAGGGTTCTTCCAGGAGAATGTCAGTGGCATCTGCAGGACCTCTCAAGGACTGAGCTAAAAGAAAAACTACAGAGGAAAAAAATACCCAAACTTTGTCAGGCCAAGCTATTACAAAAGACCATCAAGTTCCTTTGTTGAAGAAAAAAAACTCAAATGCAAAAACATTTTTCACAGCCAACACCAAAGAAAATTTGTTTGGTTTTGGTTTCAGAAGCTTTTGTGCAGCTCTAAAAGCATCAGCCAGCTACATTTCTGAATGAAATGGCTCCTCAAAATGAAAACTTGAGCAATTTTGTTTTAAACTAAGTCAGAAAGGACTGGAGCTGTAATCCCATAGGAGTGCTGGATGTGTTTCCTTGGCTCAAAATGACTTGCTGAGTTTGCCCTGAATTTTGTGGATATTTTTGGTCAACAGCACATGGCTCAGGCACAGCAACAAAGCACCTTCAGATTGCAGTCCTTGCAGAGGATATCCCTGCAGGGATACCCCAGTGCTCCCTGAGCCTTGAGAAACCCCCTGAGGAGGGGGGTGGGCACAGTTTGGAATGGGTGTTAGGGCTTTTTGGTGAGTGGGCAAAAAGCCCTAACACCTTTCCCACTTCTGTTTTAATTCTGAGGGTCATTTCTCTTCATAGAACCAGCACAGCCAGGGCAAAGAGATTCCTTCAGGCAACATCTCCAGTGTGAGCACCTTGCCCAAAAATCCCACAGGCAAAGGCAGAGGGACAGCACAGCAAATTAATCTGTCATCAACTCCCTCATGCCTGGTGTGACAGGCTGCTCAGCACCTGTGTCCAGCTAATGATAAAGGGATCATCTCTTCCCTTCTTCTTCCCAGGAGTTTTATTACTACAAACCTTTAAAACACAGACAAACTGGCCAGGAATTAACCCACACGTTTGCTCAGCATGAAGCTCCAGGCTCACATGTCAGGCAATGTTCCAAATTCATCTGCTGGAATGCTGTCCCAGACATCCACCTAGAGCAGCCCTACCCTCTCAGCCTCCTCCTGTGCCTTCCAGGAGCATCCCCATCCCTCCCCACTGATTGAGAGCCTGCCTGGGCTATGGTCTGTGCCCCTGGCTGCTGTGGGAAGGGGGAAAGCAGAGCTGGGAGGAGGCAGTGGCCTGGTTTGGGGTGAGGATTTGTGCTCCCCATGCTTGCCCAAGGTCCCCCCTGCATCCTCTCACCCCTGTTTCTAGACAACTCCCCCACTGGCATGCCAAGGGCCTTTCCACGCATGGAAATATTCAGGAATTCTTGCAATTAATTCCCTGTCATCCCCCAGATAGCTCAGACTGTCACAGAGCAGCAATCAGGGGGCACAGACAGACTGCCAGGGAGGCACTGGGCTCACACCTGTGCTGCTCCAGGGCTGTGCTGGGACAAAGCCCTGACCAAGCTCCAGAGGGAATGGCAGCTCCTAAGTCAAACCCCAGTAATAAGGTGGTCTTGCAGGGGGAAAGATTAATCATTATTGGCAGCAAAGAATGTGCAAGTCTAACAAAAGCTAAAGGGGTTTTTATTACAGTCCAACTGCAGCTGGGAAGACAATGTTAGCTAAGAATCATTAAATCTGTTGCAAGAATAAATTTTCTTTGATCCAAACCATAAAATGGGAGTGAAATCCTCTTAAGCCAGCAGCAGCTCCTAATGGAATAGACATTATTATTTTTTTTTCCAAACCAATAATAAAAAATAAAAAGGGGTTAGATTATTAAGTGAATAGATTAGGCTCCCAAATGTTAAATATTTAGTCAAGCAAAACCTGCCTAATTTAATACCTGCCTCAATTAATTTTTCAGTTTGGGATTATAATTGAAGGGAATAAGGGCATTTTCTGACTGTACAACAGGGATTCATGTTTTCCCAGAATTCAGGCAGGAGAAGAAGGACCGAGGGAAACTTTGCCTTGCTAACCCCAGGTAACATCAGTGCTGCTGCACGTGCCACTGACGAGCTGGCAGCTTCTGCAAGCCTGGAAGATGGAAGGTGAAGCCAAGGTCCCCCCTCACAGATGGTCATGAAATTTCCTGAAACATCTGACCAGGAGGTCACTCCTGATATTATCAAATATAAAAAATATTACAGAAAATTTGAAGCAATTTCTTACTGCAGTCTGATTTAGTCCCTGCTTTCAGGGCAAGCTTGGAATATTCCTCCCTCAGTGCTTTTCCCTCTCTGCCAGACACAGGAGATGTGGGAAGGGAGTGGAACTCTGAGCTCCAGCTCTGTACACCCAGGTGGGAAAATTTCCCTTCTCTGGGGTAGATGGTGCAAAGAGAGTGTGTCCTGTGCCCAGGGAGCCTTTTCCACTCCAGACACTCCTCCTCTATGCTCTGGACAATCTGTCTTCCTCCTTCATGGGCTCTGCTCCCTTCCCACTCTCCAGAGGGTATCCTTGGCTGCTCAGACCTTTCAGGCCTCTAAAAGGTTCCCTGATCTAAACATGGCTCCCACAGTGGAGCTTTGCTTCAGCAAGTCAAGGGAGGGGACTCTGCCCCTCAGGTGAGACCCCGCCTGCAGAGCTGCCCCAGCACAGGACACAGAGCTGCTGCAGAGAGCCCAGAGGAGGCCACGGAGATGCTCTGAGGGGGGAGCCCCTCTGCTCTGGAGCCAGGCTGGGAGAGCTGGGGGTGCTCACCTGGACCAGAGAAGGCTCCAGGGAAACCTCAGAGCCCCTGGCAGGGCCTGAAGGGGCTCCAGGAGAGCTGGAGAGGGACTGGGGACAAGGGATGGAGGGACAGCACACAGGGAATGGCTCCCAGTGCCATTGGGCAGGGATGGATGGGATATTGGGAAGGAATTTTGGGTCCTGAGGGTGGGGAGGCCCTGGCAGCTGTGGCTGCTCCTGCATCCCTGGCTGTGCCCAAGGTGAGGTTGGATGGAGCTTGGAGCACCCTGGGATAGTGGAAGGTGTCCCTGCCTGTGGCAGGGGGTGAGCCTGGATAAGCCTCAAGATCCCTTCCAGCCCAGCCAGGCTGGGATTCTCTGATTCTATGATTTTTACAGCTCATACCCACAAAACACACTGGTGTGCTCAGTAACAGCCATCCACCACTGCTCACTGTCCCCATCACTTGCACAACAGTTCTCCCAGAGATGAGGATTCCTGCAGCAGCTCCACACCCCTCTGCAAGGGGATATCCATCCCCAGCAGCTCTGCCCTGGAAAGAACCACATGGCCCCTGGCTTGCAGCTGGCAACCAGCTCTGATATCCTGCTCCTGGAAGCACACACTGCAATAAGGGGGAAGAAGAGAAACATTTGAGTACAAACTTCCTGCTTGCAAGCATTTCTGATCCTGGCCTGACCAGCTCAAACTCAACTCCAGCAGTGTAAACTTCAGTGCATGTCTGAGGCTTTTGGGGAGGAAGATGAGAAAGCACAGATTTATCTGATATAAATCTTGCTGTCATGTCAGGGCTCTGTTGCTTTTGTTTTCCAGACAGGAACCTCACTGGCAAGTGCTGGTGAGTGCTGCAGGCTCATGCAGGCTCTCCACACAAATTCCTGGTGCAGGTCTGGTTGAATATTGTGCACAAAGGTTAGTGGGCACAAAAATGAGAGAGAGAAATGGATTCAATAATGAAATCTTGAAGTAAAAACGTGGCTGGTCAGCTGACAGTGACTGAGAAGGTCAGGAGTACCTCAGACCCAAACAGCTCTTAAATCCAGGTAAGAAACAGGACATCTGTGGCAACAGCAGAATCATCAGAAATAGCAGTTAATCCCAAACTGGGAACAAGTAAAGCCCAGAGCTTGCCAGAGAACAACATGTCAGCAGGATTACGGGCAAACCTTACAGGGCAGCTGTGATTCTGAAGGCCTGAGAAGCCAATTGTGATCAAAGAGGCACGCAGGCACAAGAGGAAACAGCATGGAACCCAGAATCCTCCTCCTGAAGGCAGATGGAGGTGAGTGACAGCCCAGCAGATCCTTTCCAAATCACCCCCCTGGGTCCCAGGAGCAATGGAAGGGGGACTGCTCACGTGATGCTGACTGACACTCTGCAAGCTTGTCTGTGGGAAAGGAACAAGAGGGGTAATTTTATTGTCACGTCCCGCAGGGGGGTGTAAGGAAAATCACAGCATGAGAAAATGACAGTGTATCTGTCTGAGGTCATTTGCATGCCCAGATAATCTGTGGGAGGAGAGCCAGAGTTGCTGTGTTTGACAGAGGCAGCACCACGACAATGGGCCTGGGAATGGGGAGATTTGCAAGCCCTGAAACCAGCCTGGTGTTTGCTGCTCTCAGAAACCAAAATGACCTGACTTCATCATTTAGGCTTCCAGGATTACACTTCCCTCCCTCATTATGGGCTGTAGGATGGTCTCATCTTGCTGATGGCACAGAGGGACAGTCCCACACTCAGAAGTGTGCCCACATCCCAAGGACAACTTAGGGGACACAAAGAGACCATACACAGGCACAGGAGCACAAACATGAAGGCACACCCTGGGTAGCATCAGCAGTGCAGCCCAGAAGATTTTGGCAGAGATCCAGAAGAAGGAAAAAAGGCTTTGTCAGTGGTTACAGGTTGCTCCTGTGCTGCAGAGGGAGTAACCTGGGATGAGCATGCAGTAGCAGATGGGCACTGGCATGGCTGGCAGGAAAACTCAGCATGTCTGCAGTGGAAAATGCAGCTGATGGTTGGATGGAGCAGGGCCAGGAGGACAGGCTGCCTGCAGGAGGCACAGGCACTGCACAGGGAGTGGGAGGGAGATGGTGACAGCCTGGGTGAGACTCACTCACACAACCCTTTAACACTGCACTGCCAGAGGCTGCCAGGAAAATCCCAATGATAAGGTGTGTGGGACTCTGCACAGCACTGATAACTGTGGCAGAAATCTGATTGCTTGGAAAACCTGGGCATTCCAAAGGGATTTCAGCTGGGTGCACAGGGAGGATGAGTTGGATTTCAGAGATAACCTCTGGGCAGAACCATCCAGCTTTCAGCAGAGCCCAGATATGGTTATTTAGAGAAAGGTCAAGTCAAAGAGAATGGAGGGGGTGAGTGGATGGAGAGAAAGAGACATCAAGAAAGGAGCAGGGAAGAGCGAGTA